CTGTGGCCAGGGCACGCGCCTGGGCATGCGCTGCATCTGGACGCTGTGAGCTTTCTAGGCCTAGGCACCCCCGGGGCACACGCCATTTTGCAAGATTGCTGCTCTGGTGAAACCAACGCGAAATCCTTCCGGCCTCCCTGCGCTCTATACGGCGCCTAAATACTGCGGCTGTGTGGCCGTTGATGCTGGAAACTTTCCAAACTCTTCCGAAGAACTGCTTGCTGGAACACGCCCACTTGTGCTCGCAACAAAAAGAAGGCAGCGCCCCTAGGACTCGAAGACCTATGGAGTCCGGGCGTCTTGGCTGCAGCTGGTGGCGCTGTAGCTCTTTCTACAAGATTGTTTGTTTAGCAGCTAACATTGTGAAACTTTTGTTTTGTTTGCGCCAGGCGTCAGTTCTTGTCGATCCGCCTGAATGCGGCAAACCAGGCACGCGCGCACAATGGTCTTCGCTGGTGAGGCTGCAGCTGGTCATACGAGAACAAAAGAGACAGCAGCGCCGGCACAAGCGCCGCAGAGGAGAAACACTCCAATTCTTCCATGCGTGAGAGTTGGTCCGAGTTTCTTTCTTGTGGTGAGGAACCATGGCATATCACTGTTTCTGCGCGCGTACGGCGTGGGTGTAACCAGCGCGCGCCAACCTCGACGCTTCAACATTTTTATATCGAGCGGCTTCGTGCGATGGAAAAACAATTAAGGGGGCTGCATCGAGACATGGCTGCGGAAATTATTTGCTTCGGCGTCGCCTTGCAAGGCGCGGCTCTGCAAGATGGGGCCAAGACACACCCACGCAGTTGCGCAAGCCGACTTTAGCTGGAGATTGGAAGGGTAAGTTTTCCAGCGCAGCAGTTGCGGGGATAACTCACCTTTGCTGTTTTATTCCATGCCACGGAAGCCGGTGTATGCCGGTATGCGCAGCCAAGCGTGTGGGAAAATGTAAGGCGCAGGCGCAAGCTGTGTCACTGCTGCCCATTCAGCCCGCTGAGACGAAAAACGCCTCTGCGCTTTTAGAAACTAGTATGATGCGTGAGTTTTGGCTAGATTAAACGCACCAAAACAAAACGCAGGCCTTGTAAGTGCTTGAGACAGCGCATCTTGAGGCATGTCTCTGAAACTCATTTGGGATGCCCATCTGCGGCTCTGTTTGTGCGTTGCAAATCCTTGGGCCTGCGGGAAGTTCCAAGACCCAGGCAAGGGCAAAGTCGGCATCGTCAAGCGACAACTCTTCTGGTTTGGGGCACACCCCAGGCGCGGCAAGGACGTGGCACGTGGCGCGCCCAGCAGTTGCACGATTACTCGGCTGCGCCAGTCCGGGCTCAGACTGAGTGTCTTGCATCAAAAAACTGATCTGCAACCAGCTGCCCAAAACTCACTGCCGGGAGCTGTCGGAAGTCGCCCAGCAGCAGGAACTTCACGTCGGCGTTCAGCCCCACGCAGGCCAGGTCCGCCCAGAGCGCCATGTCCAGCGAGAGATTGGGACGCCGGCTGGTTTTGATCACCGAGAACTTTGATTTTAGGTCGACTTTAGAGGGCCTGGGAGGTCTTTAAAATGTGTGGTTTCCTTTTAAAACCCGCAAGCCCCCGAAGATTCATAGCTGCGGCTTGATCGTGCGGCGGCCAAGTGATGCTGGCGTCGTGGTTCAGCAGGTGCTTGACGACAACCCTGCAAACTGGAAGGAAGCTCGCTGGAAGCCAGCTGCCGCGAGGCAATCAGCCCCAGTCGACGACATTCTGGGCTGCGCACGTGCTGGCGATGTGAAGTGAGATCGCGTCATGCCGGTTGGTGCAAAGTGTTTATCCCCCCGTAGTTAGCCCAGAGAATCTGAGCAAGTTGCTTTCATTTTTTCGAAGCCGCATGAAACCCTGCCACCCCTGATTGTTTTGAATGCCTTGGTTGTCTTGCTCTGAGCCTGGTGCGTTGAATCGCAGAAGTGTTGCACCAAGCCACCTGAGGCAGTTTAGCCTGCTAGCTGCTTGACTGGCGGCGGCTGCCAGTGTGCCAACATCCTCAGCATCCAAGCCGCATCCTCAGCACCCACTGTCGGGGAGAGGCGTGTTTTCAGGGGTGCTCACACGCCTTTCAATGAAAGAGGACTGAACATCCCCTGCCGCATCCTCAGCACTCACTGTCGGGGAGAGGCGTGTTTTCAGGCCTGGCAAGTCTGCAGAATAGCGGGGAGCTGCGGCAAGGCTATGGCGAGAGTAGGAAAAGAATTGCCGCTACGGGCAGACTAATTAACCAAGGGGATTGCCAGGACTTTGCCAGGACATGCAAAGCGCGGCAAGACTGCTTACAGAAGATTGCCGGATTTGTGCGGAACTGTGCGGAGACTAAACGGCAAGTGTGCGAAAGAACTGCGGGTCGGACATGACAGGAGCTGCGGCAAAAGCGTGGCCAGGATTTGCCGGGAAATGCTGGGAACTGCACGCGCGGCAAGGATTGCCGGGAACTTTTGGCCAGATCCGCGAACGTCAGAAACGCCTCCAAAATGTACAATTCAAGTTCTCGTACATTAGGGTACCCCCCACTCGTACATTTGCCAAAGGGGTGGCCGGGTGGGCCTTCCAAAAAGGGTACCGTATTTTGAGACACGCCCACATCAACGGCATAAAGCCAGAGCAAAGACCTTCCAGAGTTGGCTCTGAAGCTGCTTGAAAAGCACGGAAAGCCCGCACCGCCAGAAAAGAGTTGGGCAATGGCTGGGAGACACATGAAGAGCTCCCAAGTCAGGGACCCGGAAAGACGTGTTTGTGTTTTTGTGTGTGTGTGTGTGTCCCTTTCTGTTGGCGTTTCTGAAAAAGTGCCAAACTATGTACTTCGATACCGGACCAGCGCTGTCACGAATCACTTCTTTCTTGCCGTGGTTCGAAGGAAACCGGTCTCCAAAAGAAGTATTGGCCCGTGAAATTTAACGAGAACACTCCTCAAACGTGGTGGACAAGAATCCCCGCCTGAATGATGTCCACCAATTCGGGCAACAAATAAATAATGCCAAACCCATGCTTCCCTCTTGGTTATATTTCCCCAATGTTTGCCTTTGAACTATGAATGAGGTCCCATTTGGGGAACAGGTCCCGGGCAGCGCCTCCGTGATGCGTCGCATCCGACTCAATGCCGCGTGCTGCGGCTTCGGCTCGGTGCCACGGAGGCGGTGAACAACTTTGGCGACAGCCCTGAAACAGGCCCAGTGCTTCTCGTGCTCGGCCATCGCCAAACATGTGCGGCCATCCTCGGAGTCATTCCGAAGAACAAGATAATCTATTTGATCTTGATGAAATTGTTCTTGGGATGTACGATCAGGAATCGATGGATGATGTTTCTTTACTGCAAGTAGATGAGGAACTCATGCTAAGTGATGAAGAAGCACATGAAAAGGGGGGGGGCGGCATCCTCAGCCTGTAGCTGGTAGCTGCTGAATTGTGGAAAACACAACATCTTTCAACAGTTTGGATTTGTGTCACAACAGCCCCACTGAAAAAAAAAACAAGGGGTTTAATTTGGTTTCCCGATACCCCTGGTTAATTGCGTTTTAGCAGGGATCTACGTGCACCCCCTCCCGCCCCCCCCCCCCCCCCAAAAAAAAAACACAGAACAACTGCAAGGATTATTCATCCAGGGGTTGACACGAAACGCTATGAAGCAATAGCCACCAATAGCCACCATGGCACTCATGTTCATCTGAGCATCGTGGTCGTTTTTAATCTTGTCCAGAAGGTCACAAAGGCCGAAGCCTTGGGGAAGCCAACTTCCCGGACCCAGCGCCTGGTAACGGTCCACCTCGTCCTCTTGCCATGGCGCTCTCATTGGACTTCCTTGGATGTGAGGCACACCAGCACAAACCCCAGGGCGGCCAGGTGAGCTTGCAATAGGACCTCCTTCAAAAGCCTTTGAGGTCCAAACCTTCCCATGAAAATGCAACATATTGCAAATCCCTGAGGTCCTGAGGGTCAAACCTTTGCCAAGCTGCCATGGTACCTCTCCACGTGGTGCAATAGCACCTCGAGGCTGCGGAGGTTCCCCTCGTAGCAGGCCGCGTGCAGAGCTGTGTTGCCGTAGCGGTCCCCTGGCACAACTGCCAGAGTGCGGAGCGCGGAGTGCGGCTTGGCTTGCCAGTGGGAAAATGGCCCAAAGGTTCTCACTGGCTTTGAAGCTACCCCAACAAAAGGCAGTGACCACACAAAGTTGACTTTCACCCCCCTCGAAGCACTGTGAAGCTTTACACAATTGAGCATGCCACAACCATTTGCAAGGTAAACTCTACGGCTCTTTAGACTTTTTGTAATTTTGACCCATCAGTCCACCGGAAGTTAGATGATTGATGACGTTGGCCAGATGCTGGCGCGGAGCGCTCGCTAGATCTGGATTCCTTGCCAGGGTACGGTGGTTTTTCTCTCTCTCACAAAAAAACACTCCTGCTGCCATTCCAATGATTGACAGGGCGCCTCCCTAGACACGTCTGAACCAAACCTGGTTGCCTTGTGTTTCACGTTACAACCAACTGTGAGGGCCCAACAAACGCTTGGACCTGGGAAGGTAACATCCCAAAAACACTAAAAACACAACCGTCGTCCCAACTAGTTAAAACCAACCAATTTTCTGGCAACCAGCGATGGCTCCGACAAAAAAGTCCCTCTCCCATCTTCTAGCAAACCTAGCTGACACTGTGACACACACACACCAAAGGAGTGGTTCCCCTCCCACCAACCCATTTCGCCTCATTTCTCCAGGTCGCTTTCAAAAGAAATCTCTGGAAAAAAGGCGCGTTCCAACTGGTGATTTGGAGCTCGGTGGCTTGAAGGTTGGGGGTCGTTTCCTATTCACCCTCTGCAAGAACAGGTTCAAGTCCCAATCCAAACCCAATCCCAACCTAAGGCTTGCCTGCGAAATTGCGTGAAAAGATCACCTCCGGCCTTTGTAGGTCACGTCTGCCAGGATCATCCACTCCTCGTTCGCCGTCTCCACGGAGCAATCCTGCAGTAGCCATGCCACGCTGCGCCAC